CCTTCAATACCTTTGGTTTCTAAGTGCCCCACTCTGATTTTGGGAATGGATGTGTCACACGGCTCACCTGGGCGTTCAGATGTGCCTTCTATTGCAGCGGTAACACTTGTCCCTTAAACTGAACATTTCGTAAACATGTTATTTTCCATAAATTTTACTCCATACTCACAGTGGGAGTTGCTGCTATATCATGCTCTATGTTTTGTAGGTGGTGAGTTCCAGGAACTGGCCCTTGATTTCCCGGTACCGAGCTGCAGTTCGTACTCAATCGCCAAAAGTAGAAATGATTGCTTCTCTGTTCAAGCCTGTATCAGATAAAGATGACGCGGGCATAATCAGGTTGACTCCTCTCGCCACTCTTACATGTACTCTGAAACTCTTATATATTGCATCCCTTTTTCTGTTATCTAATTATTAACAGTTCTGCAACATTTAATGTATGTGCTCTTTGCAGGGAATTGTTGCTAGACTTTTATGCTACTTCAAATAGCAGGAAACCTGATCAGATAATTATTTTCAGGTGTGGTATTACTAATATATTCAATACGGTACTTGCGTTAGAGTTATAAAATTCATTTTGAACTCTTTGAATGTTTGATGTGTAAATTACGCAAATTATTAGAATGTCATACGTTGGCCTTTTTTTATTAGGTCAATGAGCCGCATATATACAAGTGCATTAATAATACGTTGGCCTTCTGTCGATGTAATTAGCTCCCAGTACTATCTTTCTGTTTCCTATTATGTCGTTGTCCCACAACATTCAGTAAAAAGAACAAAAAGGAAGGGATCTTGAGTTTTTTTTTATGAGTGTAATACATTTAATTCTTAACGATCTGCAGTTTGTTATTAATCTCATATCTTGAAAGGCTAGTGTTTCACACCCAACAGTATTGATATGGCTGTGTATTATTTTCTATACCATTTTGTCAACATCTTATTGATTTTTTGCTATGTAGTTTGAAACAGGCTAGTCAATTTGATATATTTTTTCAACAAATAGAAGAATTTATACGCTAAAAAAAACTGGTTTCAGTGATTAACAATGTTGTATTGTATCATTTACCATAGTTTTGCAAAGGTTGTGAGATCATGCGTAACCCTTGTTGATTTTCCTATCTCTTGTTTTTTCTCTTATTTAGGGATGGAGTGAGTGAATCACAGTTCAACCAAGTCTTGAATTTGGAACTGGATCAGATTATTCAGGTGGCCAATCTACATTTTACTTTCTATATGCTTTATTTGTAAGAGTAAATCTCTAACTGTACTTCGTGGGGTTTTCTATGTTTTGCAGGCCTGCAAATTCCTTGATGAGAGCTGGTCTCCTAAGTTCATGGTTATTGTTGCTCAGAAGAATCATCATACAAAATTTTTCCAGACTAGTTCTACTGAAAATGTGCCAGCTGGTTAGTCATTTTACCATCAGTTCAATTTTCAGAACAGAAAAGAACATAAAACTGCGCTTCTGTTTCTAAATCATGTTTATCTTTTGATTACTTAAACTCAGGCACAATTATTGACAACAAAGTTTGCCATCCAAAGAACAATGATTTCTACTTGTGTTCTCATGCTGGGATGATTGTGAGTAATCTAAACCAAAACCTGTTGCTTTTTTGATGAAGATATGTTGTTGTTTATTAAGGAAGGAATAAACAAATAATTAAGTCTTGAGTGCCTGGACATTGTCATGTCTGCTGAATTGTTTTAGACGGTATTATCTTATTGAGAGCTACTTTGAATGGAAATTCAACCGACTTTGGATTGTTTATGTAGGGGACTACTCGACCTACTCATTATCATGTTCTATACGATGAACTTGGGTTTTCAGCAGATGATTTGCAAGAACTTGTTCATTCTCTATCATATGTGTAAGTAGTATACTCGTCCTTCAGATTTAGTAAGGAAAAAGAGAGGAATAGTCAACTACGTCCCAAGATACAAATACCTGGGGGAAAAATAAGTTATTGGAGTAAAATTCAAACCTGACAACCTTGCTTTGAATTCTGTACAGGTACCAAAGGAGCACTACAGCCATCTCTGTAGGTAATATACATAATCCTGATTTGTAGACCTTTATGTAATTGCCTTCAACTTTTATAGACTGCTTAGAAAAATTTAGGGCCATTTGATAACTATTTCATTTTTAGTTTTTAGTATTCATTTTTTATGCAAAAGTATAGAGGAAAATGAGAGTGAGGATGAGATTGAGAGAGAGAATGAGAGGGAAAGATGAGAGGGAGGAGTAGAAAAAGTGAAAACAATTTCAAATAGATTTCAGTTTTTAGTTTTTTTTTCACTTTTGTTACTCCTCCCTCCCATCCTCCCCTCTCATCTTTCATCTCAATCTCATCTTCACTCTCATTCTCACTTTCATTCTCCTTCTTTTTTCTCTATACTCTAGCACAAAAAACTAAAACTGAAATGGTTATCAAACGGGCCCTTAGGAAGCCAATAAATTATAATTTCACTCTTGCTGCTTGAATTTTTTGTAGCTGCACTAGTAATATTTGTCACTTGACAGCCTATTTTCTGTATAGAAAATCATACCCTATTTGAAATCGTTGTCTGAACAATTGTGGAGTTATAAATGGCAAGACATTTAAAGATTAGAAGTTGATTTTTTAAGTCACATTATTTTTATTTTTTTGCTCTGTTTTTTTAGTGTTTACCTTTGCCGTTTTCTCTTTGCTGCAGTTGCTCCAATCTGCTACGCCCATCTAGCTGCCGCCCAGATTTCACAGTTCATCAAGTTTGATGATATGTCTGAGACTTCCTCAAGCCATGGTGGTGGTGTGACTGTTGCTGGTGGTGTGGCCGTGCCCGAGTTACCCCGGCTTCATGCTAATGTGATCAACTCCATGTTCTTCTGCTGAAGATATGGTTTCAATTTCATATCCCATGGTGGATGGCTTCATAATAGCATATGAAGTTTTTGTGAACCAACTATTTTGAGTTTACGGATTTGAATAGGAATTTCACTAGCTTGTATATCATTTGTAGTTGAAATTATCTAAAGCTGAAACATTTCAGAAATCATGTAGTGATGATTTCTGTTTTTAAGAATTAATCCTTATATGATAGTGTGCAAAATGTTGTCAAAACAGAATTCAGATATGAAAACAAAAATACAAATACAATTTTGATTTGAGTAGATTGTCTTTGTGATAAGGGCAAAAATAATCATTGCTTCCTGAACAAAAAATACCCAGATAATAATTTTTTTATTGATAAAGTACAAAACAGATAACTGACAACACAGACTGATACTGCTGCCCCTATTTTTCAATTTCCTCCATCTACTATTGTGGATGCTTATTTTCCTTTTCAATAGTTTTACACCTCACAAATATCTCAACTATCCAAAAGAACATAACAACCAACAGGGGACAAGTACCGTTGGAATTTTGGTCCTCCCGATTTGGGTTCAATTTCCATTGAAAGTTATCTCATTCTTAGAAATGAGAAGTATTAAATCTAAGCTAAAGTAAAATTTCTCTATTTGAGTTTTTGTGGTGATAGGAAGAACCAGAAGAGTTTGGACATGAGTCTCAGTTTGTGAAAAAAATAAAAGATAATACTTTGGGTGAGGTTGAGCTCAATGGATCTCTAGGTGTGATGTTTTAACTTAAAATGTCTCCGATGTGGAACTTAATAATGGACCACCTATATTTGAACTATATTGTATATCTCTGATGTGGGACTTATAGAGGACCACTTGAAAAGAAAGGCTCTGATACCATGTTAAACAACCACTAACCTCAGAAGCTTAAGTTGTCAAAGAAAGGGCCAACAATGTATTATCTTTGGCAGGTACTCTTTCTTCCATACAATCCGGCAGTCTCTTTTCTATAGAATCCAATGAACTTCATAGAGTTGGGAGAAGGTATGTCAAGCTACCAGGGTTTCCATTCAAGTTTCCGAGCCATCCAAGGGTGTCTGCCTCTGAACACGAGTAGGTTTCTAAGAGATAGAAGACGTGGTTTACCTTCGTCATTCTACTGCCAAGCTAATCACTATCCTTGCTTGAAAATGCAGATGTATCCACTAAAGCGGTCATAGAACCAGGTCCCGTTCTGAACTTACTCGTGCAGAACCAAAAAGTTGATACCAGATTGCATCCATATGACTTTGTTCATGAGTTTGAGCTTTTTTATTTCATACTAGGCCAAGAGGATTCTTAAAAACCCAAGAATCCGGATTTCCCCCTCTAATATGGAGTGGAGTGCAAAATCACAGGTGATGAGCCCTGCACGGACTAGATGTAAGTTGTTTCTGCCTTGTAACATCCATGTCACTTAAGAAGTAGGATTAAAATATCAACACATTGTCTGGTTGGCTTGTTCAGTGCCTTGGATTGGATTAGATTAGATAATTCACTGGATTCAAGATATATTAGAGGAGGAAATGAAGGTAGAGGATTTTTAATTTTGAGGATGAGAAAGGATAAAATATAAGTTGTTGGTATATCCTACCATTGTTCTAGATGGAATGTGCTATGCTTTTTTCATGAGTAATTCATGTTCTACCTTTAACAAAGTTTCTTCATTTCTTCCCTCAACATGCCTTAAATCTATTGAGTTATCCAATAAAATTCAATCCTAGGCTCCAAACAATAAAATTCAATCCTAGGCTCCAAACGGTAATGTATCCCTTTCATCACTCGTACAGTAGGAGACAAAAAATAAAAATAAAAATCTCTCCTTAAAGGTTCATCTGCTATTTAGATTTTAGTTGAGTTCTATTGTTTTAAGAAGCGAGCATGAACTAGATCTAAATGGTGGCATGAGTTGCAGCATGCAGAAAGAGCATAAACTGAACAAATTTTGAAAAAACGCAACGCTAAAATTTTCTGGACAAGTCTTACAGACAATAGTGAGATTACACAAAAGTCCCATGAAAATTCCTAATGCGACTGATGTCACAAAGAAGTGAATAAAAGGAAAACCTCATCACAGGGATATAAGCAAAGCACAAGCAGCTGATGCATATAGATACAAATTTTAGAATGGAGCTGACGTCGTTCTACGAAGCTGATACTTTGGCTCGGGAGGTGGTGCACTTGGCAACACCTTCTCTAGCTCCTGCAACGGCAACACATATGATATAAATAAGATATCTTTAGTTGCTAATCCAAATAGCTTTTAGACCCAAATCACACAAGACAGAAAATTATTATTTAATCATGCTGTTATCTCAATATCATGCAAAGTCAAACAAACTATGTAAGAAGTTTTCTACACAGCCGGTGACGCAATCCTATTCCTATACCAGCTTTGAAAAATGAAATGAAACATCAATAAAAGGTGAAGGTAACTCACTAAAGGAGGAAGTGGATCCTCCAGAACAAAAGCAGAAGATAATGGAGTCCAAACTACCAATGAAAATTACAAACCGGAACAGCTAAGCAACAATTTATTTTAATATTTTGTTTTTCTGAGAAGAAACTACCACGTCAGAATGAGCTGCACAGTTCTGACAACTTGTACACCACGACCCCTGAATATATGGGTATTCAGACATATTGACAAATTATAAATTGGTGGCCGATCAATCATTGATATGTCACTTCAAGAAGAACTTTGAAACCATAAACCTTTCAGAAACTATGATGCAATCCCGTTATAAGTTAGAACCCAATTATTAATTCCCCTTCCGTGAACTTTTCCCTTCCACCCATAGAACTTGGAAATGCAATCTTGTTAGTAGCCAAACTTAAAGAGAAACAGGTGCTCCTCAAAGGGATATCACTAGACATATAGCGATGCCAAATACTAACACCCATTTCCCAAACCTAAAGGAAACTTGAAAACAACACCCAATATGAATTCATTTTCAGTCTAGCATCATTCAAAACGATATTCACAAGTTCCACAAGGCACTCCACAATCTATCACCACTTTCCTAATAATCATGACACTGTCAATCTTGTCCAACAACCCAAACATTAGTTAGCAATTATAACTGAAAGGAATATCTTATTGCCAACAACAAAAGGATTCTGGCGGAAAGAAACTATTCTAATCTTTAAGGTGGCACTAATAGTATGAGCATTATACACACTACCAACTAAACTTGGAAGGCTAAAACTCTAAATTACTAATCCAAATCATAAGTCTTCAAAGCATGTAGAATATAAACATAACATTGGCAATAACATAGTCATAACATGATGGGAAATTCTATAGGTACACTACAGTTTACTCACTATACCCACACACACCTAATTTTTTCCCAAAACTTCCCATTTTACCCTTTGAATAAAATTTTAAAAAAGAAAAAAAGAAACAGAAAGAAAAATTAAAAGACCTGCCAGTGAGCCTGCCTGGCTGTGAGTCCCCCCAAACCCAACTCCTGTCCTCTGCAACAAAAGCATTAGGGTTGCAGGGGAAGAGGGAGAGGAGTCAGGGGACGAGGGGGTGGGGGGGGTGGAGGGACCTGTCACCCGGGAGGCACACTGGCACTAGAGCCGGCAGGAGTAGCAGCCAAGGCCCAAACTAACTTCATTTTTTTCAGTTCTATTTTTTTTAATAAAAAAATGTTCAAAGTATAAACTTGGGTTTTGGAGTTTACAAAAAAGTAGGTGGGTCTAGTTACAAACTGTAGGGTGCCAATACAAGTTCCTAACATCATCTGCGATACAACTCCAATTTAAATAGCCACAGGGAAATTATCCAGAGCTAAAGCCTGATAAAGTATCTAAGCACAGCTCAAACCTCATCTACGGCATTCAAAGACACTAGTCTCCTTAATACTAATCCCTGACAAACTAAAAACTTTAGTCTCCACTAATAATGCTCCTTATAAAACTGTTCATAACTATCCTTGAGTGAAAATCCTTATAAAACTGCTCATAAGAATCCATCAGGAAAATCCCCTTAATTCATAAAATAACTGCCTTAAGAAATGGTATTTCCTTTTAGAATTAACACTGCTTGAGAAACATCCTCTTTACTCTGAAAAACACACCATCTACAAGCAATTGCCATACAAAATCGTATTGGTTATACTTGTTACTAGCCTCACAACCTGCAGTACGTCCATGTGATGGCTACTATATTTTTAAGATATAAAATTAGTTAGTAGATGGCTTTTACTGGGTGCTTACATTTAAATCAAACTCTTATTTTTTATTCGAAATTTTGAACAAGTTAGCTAACTTATAGACACATGTAAAAGAGTGTCAAAAGGAATGAGGCCCAGCCCCTTTGAGGTTATATAATAGAAAAGCTGAAACGCCCAACCGATCATTGCCAATAATGTAATGTATCAGCTATCCCAACCTGTAAGTGCTGGTTTAAAAGGAAACAGGAGTGGGCACCATCCTTGTCGAATCCATTTGGCATACCAAACTGTTTTTCATTTTATCACATGTGCTAGTCTGTAGGGCAGGCAAATACCAACTAGTACTGGCTTAGGTTGGCTGATATGAGTTTTCTGCTATTTACTTTATTTCTTTTAAGGAATTAATTCTTTTAAAGTTCATAATACAAACAAACCAAATCTTGTTTCTTTTATATTCTAACTAAGTACTATAATATTTGTTGTATGTTTTGTTACATGCGCTATTACCTCTCTATTTTTTTTTGTCCTTAAGTTGAATGTCATCAAATTCCATTAATATTTGGAATTTATACCTCGGAGTCCATTTATTGTCTTATTTAGTGATTTTATACATGTAAATGTAAATTAAATGAGTCCATGCTATCTCAAATTATCAAACCTGAACAGGTACTTTGAGATGTTCTAGTAAGAGTACCAAAAGAACTTTTAAAACAACTCTCAGCCTAGGACCCTCACAGTTCCTACTTAAACATACATAAAAATTTACAACACAACTCCAAACCCAATCTGTGGACACATGGCAACTGCATATGGTTGCTCTACTAACCAAGATAGGAATACTGTGCGGTATTCCATATGGTGGGTTATGTAAAGTCATGCTTCAGTGTGAAAGACTTATTGCATAGCACCCCAACCAGCGGAGGGACTGGTATTAGAATCAGATTTGCTTAGCCTTAGCATCTAACAAGGAAAGATTCCTTTAACTTTGAACATATGTCAAGGGCACTATCAAAACTCATGGTCAAATATCACCTTGATATGAAGTTTCATTCCTGAGATCACAGCAGCGTTGGCCTATTGAATAGAACAGATCATAATCACAATCTGGTAGGTCCCAGAACAGAGTTGGGATTCTACTATTTTCTGAGAACCAGGAAACGGCGCATTAGGTTCCAAACAAACACAAAACTCGCCCCTAAAAAGAAGGGAAAAAGCACGATTCACATTATGTCCAACATCTTTTACAACTCCACATTATCATTCTTTGTGTAGACCCGACTAAAGTCAGATTCCTTAAAGCATCAATGCAGACCTTTTATATTGTAATGCAAGCAAATCGGTGAAACTTTTTTGTCCACTATCTCAACATAAGCTTTATGATCACTTTCTTATGGCACACATACAATTTTACTTTCATTTATTGAGCTGTTTTTGTTTTGTTAGTATGGTGTTATGCACTAATAAATCTAGTTACTGATAGCATAATATCCTGGTAGACCATATTCTAACTTCCAACCTCAAACTTAGGGAATGACCATTGTGTGTTTTTGTGTGTGTCCGCGCATTGTGTGTGAATTGAGTTGACTCACTGGCACTATTACAAGCCCATAAACTTAGCAAAATGTACCACAGGTGATAAGTTGTGTTACTGACAATGACATCAAGCAGCAGAAAAGTTTGTAGATTACTTGCAGGATGGCATGGCAACTTCACCCAGAAAACAAAACACCAAAACAAAACAAAATGTTAATAAGTAATTTGCTGATATGCATCTTGTAATGTTTATGACGGGAAAGGAATAGTACAGCTATTCAAGGTACAAAACACTCCTTAAGGGGGACAAAAATGCAGCTTATGAGATTGTATTTGTGGATGAACATTTTTTTGGTCAATGGTGAATGAACAATTAATGCTCTTCCTGTTTCCATTTCTTTCATGAGTTATGTTTTTGTTTTAATTTTTTAAATTTGTTTTATACTGCTTAAGTGTTTGGACAATGCCCCTTAGCATCCTTTATTCCTCCTATAGAATTTTCTACTACGAAATACAGTTCATGCCTTTCCACCATCCAACAGTCAATCCGTGATTTTAGCAAACTCAATCTACCAAGTTACCGACTAAAGCATTTATACAAGAATCTCTACTACATCTGTATTTTTCCAGAACCAATGACGTATCAGATCAATCAGATCCCAGCAGTATCCAAATTCAAGAAATATAATAATCCTCCATCTGAACCACAGTTCTAATTTTCACAAATTATGTGAGTGGTGCCTGTGTGTGCATGTCTCAGTTACCTGCAACAGGCTTCTATCTGAAAACAAAATAAATTTACTGCAGCACAAATAACTGCCTAATACCAAGTGAAAGAAAATAAAGCCAACTACAATTATCTCTTTTCTAATGATGGGGAAAAAAAGAGTTTTACTCATTGCAGTTGTATCAAACCCAACTACAAATATCATTCAACAATGCAAGGTGTACTGGGGAAATCAAATGAAACAAATACAAGAAGACATCATATTAAAAGAAACCCTAACCTTCTGTTTCCTTAGCCTTTCATTTTCCTCCTCTAGACGTGAAACTTTGTTCTCCAGTTCATTTGTATAAGCCTGTTACAGTTTTCTATTTTCAGCTAAATATTGCAAAAGAAAACCTTGTGGTGGATTTATAAACCAACCAAAAGAAATGAAAATTGACCTGCTTTCGTGCTCGTGAACGAGCAGCAGATTCTCGGTTCTTTATCATTCTTTTCTGTCTCCGTTCAACAGTCTTCTCAACTATGTCCTCTGGGTTGCCCCTTTTCCTCCCAGGTGTCTGTGTATCTGATAACGTACCCATTAAGGGTGAAGGCAACGCAACTTGGTTGTCAGGATACGGCACTTCCATTATAGCACCAGCCCCTATGTGCAGTGGCGGTGGTATAGGTTGGCTTGGCATGTATACCCCCATCATACTTTGTTGTGGATGTTGATATTGTGGTTGTTGGTACTGCAGCCACTGACCTTGCGGAAACTGAGATGCCACATTCGCATCAACCACGGCAAGAGGAGCAGAACACTTTTTGTCTGAAGATGCTTCAGCTTCAGCAACAACTCCCGCTTTTACCAAGAAATCCTCCAAGGTCATCTCTCCCAAAGTACGTTGTCGTTCTTGAGATTTCTTTTCCTCATTATTTTTGCTTTGTTGAATATCTCTCCAAACCTCATCAACTGTCTTCTTGCTCAATGCACTAGTTAATGACAGGCTTGCCTGACGCTGCAGTGTAGCTTGATTGACCAGTGTAGTGCCTTCAATGTCCATACCCATGGTCTGGTTGGCCTCAGCACTCCATACATTTTTTAGAAGCTCGTCAAGGTTCATGCTGCTGAGTGGCTTCCCCAAATCACCTAACTGATTTTGTACCTCATCGAGCGTGAGACTGTAAATTGAGTTTTGTCGTGCCAAAGGCTGGAACTGCGACTGTTTGCAATTTCCATCAGCCCCACCTTGAGAACCCATTGTCTGTATCCCCATTCACCAATTCTCAATAAGAAATTGTGATTACAGAAGGCCTATTACCAAATATATCAACCCATACCATAGTTCAGCCTTATGACCACTCCAGGCAATCTTTAAACTCAGACCCAAAAATCAGAAACCTAACAAGAAAACATTGAAATTTCAAACATAGAATTCTCCAGTGTTGAACAAGACCATGCATGCTCCGAATACCAAAAGTAACTAAAAGAAGAATGAGAATGATGGTTAGTAGATATCAACTTGACTTGCAAACCAACACTCAAGCATGCACATATAGATTTGAATTGGGGTTAGAATGATTTCATCAATTCCAGACAACAGAAAATGCGCAAAGGGTAGAGCCATAAGCTGCAATTAAAAAGAAGGATACCAATTTATAATTAAAAAAGGGCAAAAATAATACCCATAAAATTACAGCTTCAAATCGCTTGAATGTATAAGAATAGTCCAATTTCTTGGAAAGCAAAAACAAAATCAACAGATTGCCAACTTGCAAATTCAACTCGACAATAATGAAACCATATATCCAGAGAAAAAATATATATATTTAAACAATAATAAGACTAATAAATCAGATGCTATAAGCTATTGAAGCCTAAATCTAACCAAACATACATATATACAATAGAAAATAAAACAAAAGGAATAGCCAGAAAGGATGTGAACAAGGGTCAAGGAAGTTTAGTCTCTTGCATGCAAGTGATTAAAGGACTTCTGCAGCCTCTATTTGAGCCAATGCTTTCAGACCCTAAACCCACAATCAAACTCTCAAGAACAAAAACCCCAAAATCCCATATTCCCAGAAAATCAAAGAGCAACACAATGAAGAATGAAAAATCAAATTACATTATTTCCTCAAACAGGACCAAAGAGTAACAACATTACCTCACCGCAAAAATATAGAAAAAAGCCCAAATCCAAAAGCTTAGATTGCATGCAACAAAAAATCAGTCTTTTTCTCAAAATATATATTTTTAATAATTAGAAAAAACATCACTGACCCAACTTCCAAATGCAAGAATGTTTTCCTCAGAGAAAAAAAACTGGCAACAAATTAAAAATAGAAAAAACAGGGAAGAAGAAGAATGAGTGAGAGGTCTGTATCTAAGAGAAATGGAAAAGCAAGAGAATCAGAGAGAAAGAAAGCACTCACTTTTAACAGTCCGATCTGAATCGAAGGAAGAATTTTGGGTTGAGAGATTGTTGTGTGTTTTGAGTGTGGAGGTTGAAATCATCAGCAGAAGCACACTTGTACAAAAACACCTACCCACTGTATCTATTTGTTCAATGTATCCAATTTGCAGAGAGACAAACAAAACTCAAAAAGCGCAGTTGAGAGAGAGAGAGAGAGAAAGAGAGAGAGGTTTCTGGCTTTCTGCAAAAACCAAAAATTCCCAAATTTTCTTTTTTTATATTATTTATTGTACCCAAAATTTAATTCTTTTTTTCTCCCTTGGTAGACAGTCCTCTGCCTGCGCCCTCATGGGTTCATTATGGACTTCCCAATTTGTTTGGTCCACTTGTATGCAACCAATTAATAATTCAAATTGTTTATTAATTTCTTCATAATGATAGTAATTTTTTAGTCTTTTAAAATTAAATTTTAATAGCTAATTGAATTTAGAGGCTCTTGACTTGCAGATACCGGTCTCAGGTTCGAATCCCCACCACATTCTTGACTTGCAGACAATGGTCTCAGACCTTAATAGTATGTGTGTGTGAGAAACGTCATCATTCTTGTAGTTTAGATTATCATTTGTATTTTAAAAAACTCTAATTTTAATAAGCATATTAAATCCATTGTGTTAGGTTTTCTAAAATAAATAGGAGGAATAGTACTTACAATTAATGTGGAAGTTTTATTTATTTTTATTGTAATATTTTAATTTTCTTTTTGGTGTGTGTAGAGATGTCTACACAAATAAGCGTGGGCAGGCAGGCAGGGGAGCAAGAGTGTATGGAGTGAACCCAACTAACGAGAGTTTTGTCCAATAGTGAAACGCTGTGGAAGTGGGATATATGCTTTGTAGGCACAAAATCAAATTAAAAATTGAAATGCAGCAGACAGTGGACACGTGGCACTCCCATGCTATTTTGCCTATTTGTAATTTTGAGACCTTTCTTCTGTGTTCTATTTTCAGTGACTACAAAACAAAGCTCTTTCAAGACATTTATTTTTTTAAAAATATCTTGGGGTTTATAAAAATAAGAAATTCAATAAATTAAATAATTATGATGTCTCAATGCATGTTGACTCTATCTATCCTTGCGCCTGCAAACAAGCAAGTAACTATCCTTATATGATGTCCAAAATTCTTATTGTGTTAAGCTCTCTCCATGTAAGGTCTATTCATGTAAGGTCTATTTTCACAAAGGAAGAAAGAAAGATTGTGGGGCTTATTTTTAATTGATTATAATTTATTTTTATTTAATTACAAATTTTATCTATCATTTTTCAAAATCAATAGACGATAGATCATTCGTCAGTCTGACCGTTAAATATTAAAGTAGCAAATGTTGGTCTTTTAAAAAAAAAAAATTCTTATTTCGATTTCTCTTCTATGTTATTTGGATTCATTAATACAACATAAACAGAAAACAATATAGAATTTATTAAATTTTAAAACAATAAAAATAAAATCTAAATAAAAATAGCAAAGTGACAAAAAAAAAAATGTAACTCCTACCTTGATCCTCTCTTCACCTTTTTCAGTTCTTCTTCTTGCTTACGTTGCGAATGTGAACCCTTTTTTTCTCTTTATTTGACTTTTATGTTGCACCGTGTGTATTCATTAGTGTCACATATACAAGCAAATAAAATAAAGTTTATCAACCTTTTAAAAATTGATATTGTGATGATCAAAAGTGGTGCCACAATCTCACATTGCTTGGGTGAAGTTAGGTAAAGTGCCTTATGTGTAGAGTTGATCTCACTTAGTAAGACGCGTTTTTGGCTTGAGGGCCGAAGAAAAAATTTATGTAGGCAGGGTCCAAAGCGACAATATCTAAGATATTAGGTTGTGACAATTTGATATTAGTTCTTGACTCGATCGAAAGTGTGCCGAGGAGAACATCAGGCCTCTAAGGGGGTGGATTATGACTACCCAAAGTGGTGCCACAGTCCTACATCGTTTGGGTGAGGTTAAGTAAAGTGTCTTATATGTGCAGAATTCATCTCCCTTAGTAAGATGTGTTTTGGACTTGAGGGCCCAAGAACAAATCTGTTTGTGCAGGGCCCAAAGCGGACAATATGTTGCTAAGAGATAGGCTTGTGACAGAAAAAATAATAATAATAATAATAATAATAATAATAATGGTCAAATGATATAATCTCCCCTATAGTTATATCCTTTCATTCTCGTCCACTTATCCTTTTTCCAATGTGTCAGCTAGTGAGATTTTTGTCAATGCTTAGAGTCATTGATTCTAACAGGACATATCATTTTAAGGAGTTTTGGATTTCAAGAATATGGGCTACAAGAACAAAACTTGAGTGAAAGTTGCTTATTTGTTCATTGTGAGGTTGAGGTAATGTATGTTCGTGTTTAAATGTTCATATACTCACATCTCAATACAAGATAACAATGTTCGTGTATCCCATATATTTCGTTTTGAAGACTCAACATTGTTTTTTGGTGTGCATCATTTTCTTATATATATATATATATAAAATAGGGTCAGGATCGGGGAACACGTAAAAAACCGCATAATTTGACACATATTTTTAACTTTTGGATGAATCATCATCTAAGGGTTGAAAATCATTCAACATTTAAGAGGAATGTATTTCTTTTATTATTTTATTAAAACTTTATTGAAAACACAAATACATTTAATTATGTCACTCTCTCCCCCCCCCCCCCCCCCCCCCCCCCACCTCTAATTCGACAAAAAAGAAGTTAAAATTATGAATAAATTAAGTACCATATGTTGAAGATGAAGAAAATGACAATAATCTCATCACTTATTTCTCTCTCACTCTTCCTTCTCCTTCTCCTCTTTGTCATCGGAACCCACCCACCGAAAAATCTGAAACAATTTTAAAATTGAACTCGATATGTTTAAACTCTCATATTTGTGATTTGATTATATTGTTCACGATCATAATTCATGACCAAGTTTAGGTGGTCAGTGTGCAATTATATGTTAGGCCAATACCTGCTGAACGGCTCTCACATCATCTCTTAATTGAGTCGAAGAGTGACTTCCTACATGAGACTATTGCTTACAACTTTAATCAAAATAGGGAAAAATCCATTACATTAACTAATTTGTTAGATAAATGAGATTTGTCAAAATCTAAACAAAAAGAGTAGCTAAAAGGAAAAAAAATAAATAGAAACTTGTATGTAAAGCTAGATGAGATAGGGAATTTTTAAAATTTCCAATCTTCTTCCCCTACATACATAAACAAAGACTTCAAGTTTCTCTCTTTGTTTTATTTTTTTTCTTGAAGACTTGAAGTGTTAACAACACAAAGTCGTTTGTGAGCCACATAATGAATCACCATATTGAAATTTAAGGGAAATTTTATGGGGTGAAAAGAGTTTACCTAAAGAAGAAGATGAAGTGTGTTTGGGGGAGGAAGTACAGAGTGGCCTCGAGGAACAAAGATGATACATATTGAAGAGAGAGAAAAAAAATTTAAAGTTTAACACTTTAATTCCAACATGTGTATTAATTGTTTAGAAAAAAAAAATAAAGTATTATAGATGCAATCTCAGTCATTAAAAGCACTTAAATTTTATAGTTGATAAAGATGTGTGTCAAAATGTGTGTCCCCCAATCCTAACCGATATATCATTATATGCTATTTTTCCAAACTTATCTGGGGCGATCCTCCGTTTGGGAAAAGGGGAGGGCGCCCCCCCCACCGGGGGGGTGTTGGGATGGTTTGGAGAGGTGGGTGGGGGAAGATGACCCCTAGTGATGCTTACCCCTACTTTATTTGAGCAACGGTGAAGCACATATAAAGAATATGCACTTGAAGGCAG